TTTTGTTTTTTGAACTTGACCAGCTATTTGGTTTAGCTCATATATTGTTAGCTGATTTCCTGTGTGGTACCAGAAATTGTTTTTAATCAGTCTGCCTCCCTCTGTGCCCCCCACCCCCACCCCCAGTGCCCTTTCCTCTCTCCTTCAGTCCACACTGGATAGGGCTCTGAGATTCCTCACTGGCAGCCTGGAGAGGCTTACTAACTGAGGGCTGCTGTGAGGCCTGAATGGGCTAATGAGGCATATCACTGTGAACAGAGCCTGCCCAAGGATAGGGCCCAGGAAGCCCTTCTCTAACCTATGCAAAAAGGAGCTTTGTCCCTTTCCCTGGCCCCTTGGTGTGGTCCAGTCCTTGTTAGATCTGCTTGCCCTCATAATCTGACAATGCCGCTTAAAGGTTTTATTCCTCTTCCCCATTTGAATCCACTGTACCATATATGCATATACAGTGAGCTAATGAGCATTTATGCATTCGTTACCATTTTTAAATACTAGAGCCTAAAGAAATAAAAAGACAATGGATGATTGTAAGATTGTCCTGAGAACACTTAAAAAAGCACTTAAAGCATTCTTACATTGTCACATGGCTGTATACTTATAACTCTATGTGTGGAATGTGTAGATCTGTTCTTAATTTTTACGATTTTCCTATACTTTGACATTCCAAGAAGATGAAAGCTCTTTACTGCCAGGACCTTGGAAAAGTGGCTCCTACCGTGTCTGTAGAGAAAGGTTTGATCCTGACTTAAGGATTCACTCAGTTCTCATGATAGTTTTTCTAAGCTCATGACATCAGACAAGTTGACATCTTCATAGGACTTAATAGTACTGAAATGTGTATACTGTATGTGCTCACCCTGGCATGGGTGTGTGGAGGCCAGAGGTAGAGTTTGGGAGTCCTTGTTCTCTTGTTTATTTACTTGTTCTCTGCTTTATTTTTTGAGACAAAGTCTCTCACTGAACCTGGAGCTCTGTTTTGTTTAGATTTGCTGACCATCAAAGGCCCCGACTTTAACTGTTTCTGCCTCCTACTATGGGGAGTGGGAGGTGCTTACTGGTGCACCCAACTTTTTACTAGGAAGCCAGATTCAGGGGCTCGCTCGTGTTTATGCAGCAAGTGCTTTTACCCACTGAGCCGCCTCCTCAGCCCCACATTGAAATTTTTTTACTTTCTTTCTCAAACATTAAATAATTTGTATCGCTGCTACAACTGACTGGTAAGCAGTTGAAGGAGAGCAAGTAAGAGGGAAGAGCCCTGCTCACTGGAACTGTGAGCCCTGCCCAGGGGCAGCTCTTGCTGTGGAAGTCACAGGGGTCTTCAAGCATGCGGTAAAGGAGCCCTGAACACCAGCTCAACTCTAAGTGGTAGGGTGGGGCAGACACATTTGATAGGACTAAATTCTTGGTGAGTCTGCCTGTTAACAGACAGCAGGAAGCCCTGCTTTGCAACTTGAAAGTTGCTTCAAGTTTCTGCATGTGGGAAGTTAACAAAGAGAAGCATGGTGATGGGGTATGAGCTCAGAATGGTGCATCTAGAGTAAGCCACAGAGCTCCAGCACTTCCAGCCATGCCAGATGCTAAGGATAGGAGCATCAGAACAAACTGCCTGTCAGCACCTTCACTCTGCACCCACAGCCTCCAGAACTGTGAGGAACCGCTAGCTACGGGTGCTAGGCAGCTCTGAGTGGAGGGTTCAAAAAACTACCAATCCACAGACTAGATGTTTCTCATCATGCCACAGAGTGCCTTAAAATCTAGTTGGAAACTGAACAGGAAGTTATTTCATTGCTCAGGCTGGCATGGCTTAAACAACTTATACTCAGCATCCCCTGAGGGATGGGGCAGACATCAGTGTTTGTGACGGAGCTGCAAATGGCTTCCACTCTGATGGTATTTGTCTTTCATGGCAATTCTCAGAGCAAGGTAGGACTTTTTCGGCAACTTCTACTTAAAGCCCTGTGTACTACCTTTTAGATTAGGCTATAAAAATGGGTTTAGGGCAGGGGTCAGTGAGGTGGCTCTGCAGTTAAAGACACTTAGCACCATACCTGACATCCAAGTTCAATCCCTGAAAGGAGAAAACCAACTCCCTTAAGTTGTCCTCTGAATTCTGTACACACCAAGGCACCCTCCACCACTACATACACTAAGCAAGTAAATGGTGTGTGTGTGTGTGTGTGTGTGTGTGTGTGTGTGTGTGTCAGAGGGCCCTGAAGTTTAGAAATGTTTCTAAATTTCCACTAGAAAGGAATCTGACATGGCAGAATTAGTGCCCTTTAAAAAGTACCGTTGCTTAACTAAGACATTGTATGGGGCAGAGGGACAGAATCCTATAAAAGATGAGGTGTCCTGCTGTCTGTCGTCCAGTATGAACTGTCTCAATTGCCTCACTCACACGTCCTGGCCTGCATTAGCAGGTGATGGCCACAGCCTCAGAGCATCCTGCCCAGCAGGCCTGGGTTTGGGCAGAGGAAATGAAACCTAGTTGTTTACTATGAGATTTACAATAGACCTGCCAGTGCAGGAAGTGGTGAAAAGTTGATTGATCACTTAGACAACAGCTCTACAACAAGAAACAGGATGTAGGCTTTCGTTTATGCCTGAGTCCCACCCCCTAGTGCATTTTAGGCTCTTTTTGCACTTTGGCTGTTTCATGGTCTTTGGGTTCTTTTTAGTACCACCCCCCAAAACTTAGTCACTAAATGTAAAGTAATTGGGGGCAAGGTATCAGTTTAGCTGTGTCAGAGGTGTGTGCTTATAGCTCTTACATTTATACTTCCACTAGGAATGAAATACCCACTAATTAAAAAGGTTCATATTTTGGGGCTGGTGAGATGGCCAGCCCCAAATTAATTTACTACAATTTGTCAGCAATCTATAATTTTTTAAATCCTCCAATTGGGATGTTATGTCACAATTGTATAAAGAATAAACTATTTTTACAGTTATGTGGTAGGATTGTGTTTGTATCAGCTTCTAAGAAAATCTAGTATGGGGTGTGACTTTATATAACAGTATGATCCACTTGGCAAGTCCATTAAGTACTGATTCTCTTCAGTCTAACAAATGCATTCTGAGCATGTGAGATGTTCCTCATTTACACATAAAAGACATGACTTCGGCCAAGGACTCATATGTGTTCACTAAGAATATCAGAATGGCTGGCACTTGTAAGAGTCTGGCTGGTTAATGTCACTGACAAAGCTTTTTTTGATGTGAACTATCCAGTTCTGCTTTGAATGTGACAAAAGGAATCACCAACTCCCTTAGATAACTTGATATTTTGAAATGGTAGCACCATTGCAGAAATGGATTTTAGAACTTACAAGGAACAGCAAATTAGAACCAATGTTAATTATGCTAGTGTTTGGAAGAATAAAATGGCTTCCCTGTCACGACTTGATTTTTCTCACCAAATAGTGTCCCCACTTTCCTCTTATCTGTGTGAAACAATTGAGTAGTGAGCCCCATTTTCATTCCTCCAACTTTTCCATCAAATTCTAGGCTCATGCTATTTTGAAATTTTAATCACTGTATTCCTGGTGCGGGGAGGGGGGGTGTCTAGAATGATGCTTGTGTAGACTTCAAAGTGTCTGTTAGAACTTCAGTCTAACAGGACACTAGCCAGCCTGAGCTAGTGAAAGTAGGACAAAAAGGAATAGAAGCTGAGCATGGTAGTGCACACTTGTAACCCGCCACTCAGGAGCTAGGGCCAGGAGAGTAGTCAACTGGAGGCCAGGAAAGTTTAGGGCCACCCTGAGCTGTGTAACCTGACCATTTTTCAAAACACAAGGGCTATAATTGCAGTGCATAAGTCCATGGGTTTAACCTCCAGGAAACCCTTCCCTCTTTAAAAAAAAGAAGAAGAAGAAGAAGCCATCTTGGTGATGGATCAAATGAACATATGACTTTAAAGTAAAATACTCTTGCTGGAAAAATAAAGATTCACATAGATGATTATGGGGGCAGGTGCCATTTGGACTATGTGGTGCAGCTACAGGTTGTCCCTTTGTTGAGTCATTGACTCGCTCCACCTGGCCTGCCTGAAATCCTCTTACCTTGGCAGGCCATCTCCCTTCCTAGCTCTCTGGAAATGCCCATTGAAGCAGTGGGCTTTTCTTCTGTCAATGATGCTGCTGCCCTCGCCTTCTTCTCCTCACTCTGCCCATCTTCGGACATTGCTCCACCATGTCAGTGTGGAAACCCATGAGCACACGGACTATTGTGAGGGAGGGACTCAGACACATGCCAGCGCTTCCATGGGAAGTGCTGTATTTGTCCACATCAGCTCTTCTGAAATGAAGCCTTGTTTGTTTGGTGTGTGAGTACATGTAGAGGTCAGAGAACATCTTGTGGGAGTCAATTCTTCTACCATGTGTGTCTAGAGGATGGAACTCAGGTCATCAGGCGTCGTGCCTTTACTCACTGAGCCATCTCACCAGCCCCAAAATATGAACTTTTTAAATTAGTGGGTATTTCATTCCTAGTAGATTTAGCAGTAAGCAACTCTAAGGCTCCATCATCTGCTTGTGTCATTTGTCCAGTTTTCTGTTGGATTCCTCTGGAGTAGGCCCTTGTCTGTGATGTTAAGTTGAACATATTTTTCCCATCTTTAGCATTAACCACTTGACCTGGTTTTGATGGATTGTGGGGTTTCCCTTAATTGAATGAATCAAGCTTCTCTTCCCCTAGCTTCTGTCCTGTGGGTGGGAGGCTTTCCACATTCTAAAATCATAGAAAATCCACACTTCCTTCACTGCTTGTGTACCTTGTGTGCCCTCTCTCTCTCTCTCTCTCTCTCTCTCTCTCTCTCTCTCTCCTCTCTCTCTCTCTCCTCTCTCTCTCTCTCCCCCCCCCTCTCTCACACACACACACCTGTGACTTGATTGGGATTTGTCCTGGTGCCATGTGAGGGTGCCAGCTTTGTGGTGTTTATATCCTATTGTCACCAGTCTGATTAGTGAACAGACCTAATTTTTCGTCTTAATATAATTTTCAAGGTCCAAAAAGTTGGCTGCCCTCGCAGAAGCCATGAAAGCAGTCTCCCTCAGTAAGGCCCAGCTGGGGTTAGAGCTGCAAGAACTAGAAGCTGCCGCACTTCTTGTCCAGGAGGAAGAAACTGCCGAAAAGGCAGCCCAGTGCAATCCCATGCAGCCAGCTCCAGGCTCCAGTCCCGAGACCAGTGACTCGGACAGCACCACATCGTCTGACACAGAAGACTCAGCTTCAGAGCAAGAGGAGCTTGTTGGGATGCAGCCCTCACTGCTCACTTCTCTGCAAGTCCCCCTTTTGGAAGAGGATAGCAGCGCCCTGCTCATCAAGGAGAGTGGGCTCTGCAGAAATGTGGCCGGCCAGGAATGTGAAGTCAGTCAAGGGCAGACCCGGGCTCCTCTGATAGAGGAGGTTGGGGATGAGCTGAGGACCATGCTTCAGATTTCCACGCCTCCTGATGTCAGTGCTGGGAGCCACAGTGGCATGCAGGATGGAGAAGAGAGGGGACAGGTACCTCATGATTGACTCGAGTGATTGGCTCACAGGGAACTAGGTCAACTCTGCCCTCGTGTAGATATCGAATTTCTCATTTCCACCGTGTACTTTTTCTGCCCGGATATAGGCATTGCTTTTCAGGGAGCTAAAATTTATACCTTTAATTTTTTTGTTTTGCAGTTTGAAAAATAAAATCCTAAAGTATTCTTTCCAAGGTGTAAGTAAGATTTTTTAATGAAGACCATAGTTCTACTAGGAAAAGCTCTAGACCAGTGGTTCTCAACCTCCCTAAGTCTGTCACTCTTTAATATAGTTCTTCATGTTGTGATGACCCCCTGCCAACTATTATGTTTCTACATCATAAGTGTGATTTTGCTATTGTTATAAGTAATATGCAAGCTATCTGATATTCAACCCCCAAAAGGGTCAAGACCCACTGGTTGAAAACCGCTGTTCTAGATGTAGCAGGACACCTGACAGGTAATATTCACATTTAAAGTGTGCACAGTGAGAAATACTAACAACTGAGCACACTAGGCAAAAAGCTCACTGCAACCAGGATAATGAATTTCCCCATCAGCTCCAGCTGTCTTTGGACCATTTGACATCTCTCTTTCCCAGCCAGATGCCACCCACCTGTGTCCCCTGAGCGGCCTCTGATGTGCTGTGCTGTATGTAGTCCACTAGCTTAAACCGAAGCATTTGGAGTGCTCTTTTGACCAGGCTGTTTTCACTGCACATAGTTATTGCGGGATTGTTATGTGTGCTATTGTATGCCAAGTCGGTGTGAAGACCATTTCTTGGAATGGGTTTGTCCATTCACCAACTGGTGGACATTTGAGTTGCTGCTAGTGTTTGGACTGTTAATAAAGCTGTGTGAGCATTTGGGTACAAATCTCTGTGCACATGTATGTTTCCTTTTTCCTATGTAAGTATCAGTGTGACATGGCTGAGTATGTGATAGGGACATGTTTAACATTTTACCGGATTGTGGAATTGTTTTCACTCTTAGCTTGGAATGACTAGTTTATACCATCAGTAGGTAAGTGTTCCCATTTTCTCAATTGCTCAATGCTACTTAGTATTTTCATCTTTTATTACATTTGCTTATTTAGTTACTGTGCGTGCATGCATGCATGCGTGCGTGTGAAATTGAAGGTCAGAGAACCACTTTCAGGAGTCAGTTCTTGCCTTCCTCCAAGTGAATTCCAAAGATGGAGCTTGGGTCATCAGGCTTGGTGTCAAGCACTCTTCCCCTGAGCCATCTTGCCAGCCCCTTAGTGTTCACCATTCCAACAAGTGTGGAGTTGCAGCCTCATTCTGAGCTATGTTTACTGATTTAAGATTTACTGTGCTGAGCTGGGTGATGGTGTAGCACACCTTTAATTCCAGTACTCATGAGGCAGAGGCAGGCAGATGTCTGAGTTTGAGGCCAGTCTGGTCTACAGAGTGAGTTCCAGGGTAGCCAGGGCTACACAGAGAACCCCTGTCTCCAAAACAAAACAAAATAAAAGATATGTTGTGCTGAGCTCTTTTCACAGACTTGTTTGATACTTGCATATCCTCCACAAGTGTCCAAATCTTTTGCCATTTTTTAAAGGGTACTTTATTTTCTTACATTTTAGTTTTGAGAGTTCTTTATAAGGTTTGGATACAAGTTCTCATTATGAGTCATGTTTTCCTGCTTTTTTACATGCCTTATCAGCTTTGATCAGCTGGTAAACTCTAGGTTTTATCTTGCTGGGTGTTGGGTTTGCATTCCTGCAAATATTTTTTTTTATCTTTCTTTAGTGATTCAACTAAGTGATTTGTACTGGTTTGTACTGGATCTGGCTTCTGTACTTATTCATTCTAGGGCAGAGCTTGGTCTGGGGTCCATTATTGCCCAGTGTTTATATTCCTGAGAGTAGTCTTTCAGTGTCTGTGTGTCTGTGTGTCTGTCTGCCTGCCTCTACCCCACCCCCTGACTTTTTTTTTTTAATTTTCATTTATTTATTTATTTATTTATTTATTTATTTATTTATTTATTGGGTTTTCCAGACAGGGTTTCTCTGTGTAGCTTTGTAGATCAGACTGGCCTGGAACTCACAGAGATCCACCTACCTCTGAGTGCTGTGATTATTAAAGGCATGCGCCGCCACCACCCATCCCTTTAATTTTTATTTTTTATTATATTTTTTATTTTATTTTATTTTTTTGCTTATATATATATGTATATATTTATATTTATATAAAAAGAGCAATAATGGCAATATGTTATGCATCAATAGCAGCAACAGCTTTTCCAGGTTCTGTAGTCCTTTACATTTTAGTTTTGAGAGTTCTTTATAAGGTTTGGATACAAGTTCTCATTATGAGTCATGTTTTCCTGCTTTTTTACATGCCTTATCAGCTTTGATCAGCTGGTAAACTCTAGGTTTTATCTTGCTGGGTGTTGGGTTTGCATTCCTGCAAATATTTTTTTTTATCTTTCTTTAGTGATTCAACTAAGTGATTTGTACTGGTTTGTACTGGATCTGGCTTCTGTACTTATTCATTCTAGGGCAGAGCTTGGTCTGGGGTCCATTATTGCCCAGTGTTTATATTCCTGAGAGTAGTCTTTCAGTGTCTGTGTGTCTGTGTGTCTGTCTGCCTGCCTCTACCCCACCCCCTGACTTTTTTTTTTTAATTTTCATTTATTTATTTATTTATTTATTTATTTATTTATTTATTTATTTATTGGGTTTTCCAGACAGGGTTTCTCTGTGTAGCTTTGTAGATCAGACTGGCCTGGAACTCACAGAGATCCACCTACCTCTGAGTGCTGTGATTATTAAAGGCATGCGCCGCCACCACCCATCCCTTTAATTTTTATTTTTTATTATATTTTTTATTTTATTTTATTTTTTTGCTTATATATATATGTATATATTTATATTTATATAAAAAGAGCAATAATGGCAATATGTTATGCATCAATAGCAGCAACAGCTTTTCCAGGTTCTGTAGTCCTTTGAACAAAATTGTAGAGACATCCAGCACACTCCATTTTGAAAAAACAAAAAACAAACAAAAACAAAAAAACAAACAACAACAACAAAAAGTAAAAAACAAAATCCCAGAAGACAGCACAGTTCTGTTACTCTTGTGGTACTTGGCACCATTTTTTTTTTTTTTAATTAGTTTCTCAGTCATCATCTGGGAGGAAACCAATCTGAGCAACATCAGTAAAAATAGCTCTGATAAAGCATGGTCACTACTGTGTATCATAAAGCAGGTCCACATATGAGTGAGTACATATCATGTTTGTCTTTTTGTGATTGGGTTACCTCGCTCAGAATGGTTTCTTCGAGTTCCATCCATTTTCCTGCAAATTTCAAGATTCCATTGTTTTTTTTCTGCTGAGTAGTACTCCATTGTGTAAATGTACCAAAATTTCTCTATCCATTCTTCGGTTGAGGGGCATCTAGCCTGCTTCCAGTTTCTGGCTATTACAAATAATGTTGCTATGAACATGGTTGAACAGATGTCCATGTTATATGAATGTGCTTCTTTTGGGTATATGCCTAGGAATGGAATTGCTGGATCTTGTGGTAGACTCATTCCCATTTTCTTGAGGAGTCGCCATACTGATTTCCACAGTGGCTGTACAAGTTGGCACTCCCGACCCCCTGACTTTTTGCATAGCTGTCACCAAATACCTGGCAGAAACAACTTAAGAGAGAAAAAATTATTTTGGCTCATAATTTCAAAGAGATTTCCATCCTTTTTGGGTGGGAAAGACATCAGTGAAGGTGGAAAATTTCGAGGGTGGCTTGTTCACATGGTGGCAAGCAGAGAAAATGGACCAGAACCAAAAGCAAAGACCTACCTCTAGTGACCTGCTTTCCCCAGCCACACCCACTGCAATAGCTCCACAGATGTCAAAATACTGCCACACACCGAAAAGGAAATGTCCAAAACGTAAGACTGGAAACCTGTCAGATTCCAATCACCATGCTTTCCTGCTCTTTGGCTTTTCCCCCATAGGCGACAGCAGCTGCCCATGGTTGGAAAGTCCTTGGCCTATCTCCTGAGTGCCACACTCCACTGGGTTCTACCTGGATTGTCCCCCCTGCACAGTGGGATGGTCTTAGAGCTCACCTGGTCTGTTTCCTGTCTTCTATCAGCTAATGTTCATTGTCTTGAGAAATCATGGCTTCATACAGTTCCCATTTTTCTCTTATGCTGCTCCCTATGACTCCATCTTGAATGGAAATGGTCACATTTAGGTGCATTCCCAGCTTGCAGGTCGGTTGCTGGGGAAGTAGGGCTGAGTTAGGTCTTGTCAGTCCTAGACACCACTACTGTATTCTCAGTGATGTAGAGACACATGGTGAGTGAATGAACAAGTGAAATAAACCGATTTGCTTTGGGTGAAAATGAAATGAAACCCGATATGCATTCGTTCATCTCAGCACTTTATTCCAAGACTGTATGGTTCCCTTTTCTTTGAATTAGAAAGACTGCAAGGATTTGCATTTCTAATATAAATTCCAGTTGTATTAACATGTTAGTTGGGGTGACTGTGCCGTTTGACATGCATGTTAACTCCTAAACACTGTAACAGCTTGGTCCGGGTGTGTTGGAGCCTTTTCTCAGGCTCCCTGAAGAGCTTCAGAATTTCTGTGACCATTGCTAATGCACTTCTCCTCAGCAGTGTGTTACCTGAGGCTGACTTGAAAAGGCTTTGGATCCATTAACTGCAACTTGAACAAATCCTCTCTTGTTTAAATGTTTAATGCCATGGACATTTTTTCCTTTCATCAGTTCCTGTCCCTGGGAATCTGGACAGGATTGGTTTCCGTGAGAATTGTCTTGGAAAAACCGCTTTCCTTAAAGATATGCAAACGTGATCCTGCTGACATTCCTAAAGCCAAGTGGCTCTGTGAACTCTCTCATGACTATTAGAGATGACATGTGTGAGTTCCCGGGCTTCAGACTCCTGGGTTCAGTTTGTGGCATTCCCTTCAATCTCCCTTTGTCCATGGGGCTTAAAGCTCATGTGTCACAACACCTGGTTTTTGTAACTAAGAACACTATTGCAGCACACCTGCAGCCCAGAACACCCCTTAGAGGGGCTGCCCTTTGGGTTTTTATGCTAAACAACTTTACCAGGCAACTTTAGGGATCTCCTGTAACCACAGGGGTTTCCCAAGAATGCTGGATGATGGGAGAAATGGCAAGTTAGGGAAAGAACAGAGAGGAGACCACAGTGACTCTCCCTAGTCCCTGAACAGTGAGATTTGACTATTTGAGGTTGGCAAGACATGGAATTGGATTCCAGAACCTTGGTTTCAGGGGTGACCTGCCCTGGAGGGTTATGTCAAAGTGCCAAACCTTTCCTTTCATCTTGAAAATAGGACTGAAATTATAGTCATGGGTCACCTAGCAAGGGGGATGTGTTTGAGAAGTGCAGGATTGAGTTATTTTGTCATTTAGTGTGTAAACATCATGGAATCTTCTTACAGAAAGGTAGCTATGGTGTCATCAAGTGATAGAATCTCTTGGGGTTTTTTTTTTTGGGGGGGGGGGGTTGCAACAATGTCTTACTGTATAGCCTAGGCTGGCCTGAAACTTAGTGTCTTCCTGCAACAGCCTGCCAAATGCAGGAATTATAGGCCTGTGCCACACTGCCTTGCTAGGTGATGGAAACTTAAGACATCTACCTTCATATGTGCAATGTGTCTTTGACAAAAACATGCAGAACTTGTCTGTGTTTTTGTTGCATATCTTATGGGACTGTGAGACTTGATGAACTTGAAGAGTTAAACCAACATAAGGTTCATCCTTCTTGCTTGACATCCCCAAGCTACCTAACAACAGGTTGCTAGGGGAGTCAGCATTGTAAAATGACCCAGCTCTGACCATCATTCA